TTGTTTCTGCTCACTCTTTTAAAACTTAGCATTTTAGAAATAATGAACCTGCTGTGGTTTTACAGAGCTTAATACCCATCTAGAATTGCCTCTTCTGTCTTTAGTTTGCTTCTACAAAAAAACTACTGGCAAGCTTATGTGTATGACTATACCATATGCTCAAGCCCATAGACTGGGGGAAAAACAAGACAGTCTGTTTTTATTCACATAAAAGCCTCAGAAGCTGCTCGAAAATGGAGTTAGGTGACCGCCTTTCTCGAAGTCTGACCTGGTTTAAAAGCAGAGCTGAAATTCATGCCGTCTATTTCACAAAATCCTACCAAATTAAGTGTACGTGAGAAATTCCACAGCTGTAAATTTATGGGTTTAGAGGAGTGGAGCTGAAGGGTGGAGTATCAGAGCTGGACTGCTCTTTCCTGCTGCACAGGAGGATTTTTATCACTAGATCAGCGGTAACGCTTTGGCCTGCCTCCAACTGCATATTTCCACAGCAACTTTGTCGGACTCAGGAAAGGCCTCGAGCTTCCCGAACGCAGAGGCACTCAGTAAGGGCCCCTCTGCAGATCCCTCTTCCACATCCAAATAGCCAAATTCCACTGCTGTGCTCTCTCTCTGTATGAACAGACACTGCTCCCATAGCACAAAACATACCAGAGCAAATTCTGAGGGCAACGAGAAAAAAACAAGGCAAAAAAATTCAAATGGATTAAGGTACATGCGAGGGTTGATCCTAATGATCCTGCTCTGTTTGGCAATAACTGGCAATAAAATAGTGCCAAATTAGAAGAGAAGCATTTAAAACTGGTTTTAATCATTATACGCTCACTTTACTCTATGTACAAAGCAAGGAGCTTAATTAATTAACTTTCAAAGTTTTCCTGTATGTTTCCTTGCTCTGAAACCCTTTTATTTCACAACTAGGAGCTGTATTTCTTTTCTGCTTCTCTCTGCCCCCCGCCACTGGCTTCCCACAGAGAATGTGCATCTCTTACCCATGGAGATTAAACAGGGAGACATAAATCCAGCAACATTTGACATACACGTGAAAGTGGGAATACAAACAAATTATAGAATCAACCTGCTTACAGAGAATGATGGATTTGAATTCTTCCACTTAACTTGCAAAATGAAGGGGAAAATTTCCAACTGTTTTAAAAACTAGAGGCATATTGGTTCCAGCTGCCACTCATCCTCCTTTTCTGTAGTAAGGCTATCAAGCAGGATGAAACAATACAGTATTTTGACACTGGATACTGAACAGCTGCACCTCATTTTCAAAGGCAACAAAGTATAGCAGCATAGCTAAGCTGCATCAGGAATCAGGATCAAATTTTAAGTTTCTGGGCACTGGGCGGCCTGCATGACAGTGCTTCTGAGAACAGAACAACAGTACAAATATTTGGTTTTGCTCAAATTTGTTTTTTAGTAGACCTTGAAGCTATGCAATTTCATCTCTGTACGCTCCCTGGCTCCCCTGCTGCTCAGAGTGGTACCCTGAGGCACTCCTCCGACACTGGCATTGGGCAAACATCTGCATAACACCTGAAAAAAACTGCAGTTAAAGTTTTTGGTCTTGTACAGAAGCTATTCATAGAGGATTCCGGAATTTTGCAGTTTTAGGTAGAATGGCACTGAAAATCACCAGTTTTCTAGGCATCTGTAAGAACAAAATGACTACGCTACTGGAACAGACCAAAGGTTCCCCTAGCATCATATCTTGCTGCCGTACAAGGAAAGGCTTCTCCGAAGGAGCAAGAAAATGATGATACTTCTCCTCACTTAGCTTTCCAGCTTTGCCCTGTCCATAGCGCAAATATCTTCCCAGCCAAAAGAAGTTTATCTTCAGGTCCCCTGAAGAGGCTACCTGTTGTACACAAGCACCATATAGAAAATCTGTACACATATAGAAAACTGAAATTCCCAGCAGATCAACATTTCGTCACTCACGGAGCACTGTGCACCACATGCACGATCAGTGTGATGGCACTGGGAGTGCCAGACTCACTGTGTTCCTACGATCGTAACTGATCTGCAGGCAAAGATTGTCATGGATTTCTAGACATCCAAAAGCAAAATGAAATCCTGCTGGTTCAAGTGGTCTGCCAGCAGTCAAAAAAAAATCTTGGGAAATGTTCAAATTCAAGTACAAGGCAATATGTCGAAGTGATTAAACTGCACATGGAAAATACTTTTTGCACACACACACATCTATATACATTATACATACACATCAGACTTACAGTAACCCCCCAGCTGTGTGCAGAAGACATGCACGTCAATAAAAAAGCCTAACTTATTTTCCAATTTAAACACAAATTCTGTCTTTATAACTTTAGAGAAAGAGACTCCATCCCTTTACATATTCAGAATTTACTTTTGTAGTAAACATACTAATAGCAAACTATGTAATTCGAAGCAGGCTGTGGAAGGGGGTTCTTAAAAATATTCTTGGAGAACTCCAGAAAAACTTCCCTCTTGTAAGATTACTGAACAAGTCACCAGTTATGTGAACAAGTCACCAGTTATGACCAGGTTATGACTTACTCCGAAAGACAACATAATTCCATCAAATGTACTTTTAGTTTACTAGGAAACTGCCAGAGAGAAATATATCTAGGGTAGCAGCGTTGAATTTTCCATTAATCCCATTTTCTCTTTGGCCAGGCAGCCAAAGTTTGGATTCACAGTGTAGTCAGATTTCTGGCTCCATATCCTGCAAAGCAGTTAGCGGACTGGATTCATTCATTAGGCCATTCAGCTATCATCAATCACTCCTCAGGTTTCACCCTCTGCCCCACAATAAAACCACACAAATCCTCCTGCTGACTTCAAGGTCAGTTTTCTTCAAGCGCTTTGGCACACATCTGACCAGCAGTTCAGAGGTACATGCCTGAACTGTCAGTAACTACAGAGCACACAACCAAAAAATGCTGAGGCAAGGACACTACCACCACCAAGACTGGCAAAGGAACTGCTTAAAGAACTTAGTTTTTAAACTGTTTACTCCCATTAATTTTGAGATGAGTCCCTGTTCGGTAGCACCTTCAGCTGATGTTACCTCCATGCTTGTTGCCGGCTCCTTTCAGAATGGTCAGCTTTTGTAGGGACGCAATATAGGACGTACCTCAGTCTTTTAACGGTACCTTCAAAACTTACTTATACTGGAGTGATGTATCAAACAGTGTTCACTGACGCAGCCTTTCAGGCCTGATGCACTGTCACTGACACAGTAACCGTATTACTAATTTAAATGTCCTGAGAGCTGACTACAAGCAACCCAAGCATATCATGTAGGTTTTTCTGGTCCCAAAGTTGGTGTTAACATTTTTGTCCCTTAGTGTTCTGCAGCTGAAGTTCACTTTCTTTTTTTCCCAGTGGAGACGTCATCTGCGTTCCACAAACACAAAAGGCTAAGCTCCCTTGTGCTAGGAATGAAGGTGCACATTTTCACAGCTCGCACACGTAACGTTCTGCTGTTATGTGTGGTCCCCATCTTCACCGTCCACACAAGCTCAGATACCTGCAGAACCAAGCTGTCAGCCTGATCCACACACAACTTGAAATCAAGTAATTTTTCTGGGATACTTTTCAGACAGGATTACATTTGCACAAGGCTCAACTTTACAGCAATAGCTGACTGGCTGAAGCCAAATGTGAAATCACTTCTTAGGTGAACTACCCAAGATCACACCGCAAGAGAGCAAACACGACCTGCAGCCAGTCTATGCGCTCACCTCATCTCACTCTCAAGTTCTGAGTCGCAGACTCCAGTTTCCTAAAGCAAGCTGCATCCCAGCCTGTAACTCCCTCATCTGCTAATGAGGCACTGGAGTCCAAGCCCTTCACTACCCTCACAGTCAGAGGTTACAATGTGCACCACATGCTGGGACCAAACAACATCCTCTACCAATTTAATACAGACTAGCTTCATTTTCCATAAATTACTATGCTGCAAAATACAGATTAACTCCTCATACAACTACTCTGAAGTCTCCCCATGACATTTTTACCTAAGTAAAAGATTTCTCTTTTACTCAGCACACAGTATAAACAAGAGAGTTTTGCACCATGGGGTGCAGAAAAAGTTTTGATGATGATAAAGAACTAAGACAATGATCACTTTTCCATGCTCACTGAATATGTGGGTTTCTCTGCAGAAGGAAATACATTTAAAACATGTAATTTTACCGGATTAGCCATATTCATTTAATTCCCTGTGAGACCTAATTCAGGATCTAATGGCTCCATCTTACACTGCTGACCCAAAAGTCTTTTGGTAACAATGTTTTTTCCAGCTAGGAAGCGTTCAAGAGGCAAGAAGTACATAAAACATTTGACTGTTTTCCCACAACGTTCGTGCAGATTCTTTTCTTCTGGAGGTCACAGACCTGTTATTTTGGTATTGAATAGAAACATCACAGATATGGAGTCATAAAAATTCCATTCAGTCCACATCCTGAACTTAGTGTTTGCACCCAACAATAGTCATCACATCCAACAAAGACAAATTTGAATTGCTAGTGTGCTATCTTCATGCCATCCAACAATCCTCACAAGATCCTTCACCAAACATTTCAACAGTTCAACAAACAAAACAGAAAATCCCAACCACTCTCATCCTTAAGCTCCATTTTGACATGATACAGTATCCTATTGTGCATCACTTGGAGGGACACTTCATCACCCTTCTGCAGAATCTGTGAACAGCTACAATTTCTGACAACCAATTCACTTTCATGTTATTTGCTTAAGTATCTTTATGTATGTGTCTCTCTCTACCTACAGATATGTAGAGGGGGTGTGTGCTTGTGCCCACATTTATGTACATATGATGTCTAAACTTTTAACTTTCACACTGGGTGACCACTGTAGTAGCTCTCATACGGGGAACACGCACTCAGTGCTCCATAGCTGGACTGTAGCTGAGCACACCTTCTTTTTCCCCGGGATGACCACAGTGATTTTGACACAGCCAACAGAGCTTGTGATACTGCACTTACCCTGGGCGGGACAGTCTGCAGGGCTGTGATATAGTTCTCCAGAGCAATGCGGCGACGGTCATTCAGCATGGCTTCCACCCGTGCCATATGAGTCTCTACCAGCTGTTGTCTTTCATTCGCTGCTTCTTGTTCCAGTGACTCCACTTTCTCCTGGAAATGCTGAAAAAAACATCCATCACAACAGGAACGGTGAAGACATCCGCAGAGACCAGCGGATGTGAACACCCCCAGCTGCAAATCACCACAATCTTTCCCCATGTCAGCCTAGCCTAGCTCCCAGGAACTCTGCACTGAATGCAACTTTTACGGATGTCAGTGGGAACTGCTGATGCCCTGTACTCCTGAACATCTGGCCATATATTAATTAACTAATCAAATATTCCTGACATGTTCAGCACAGCCACCAGTGAATCCTTCATTTGCCCCCCTGAGACAGTGGTTCAGCGCTAGAAAACTGTGCCTAGAAAAGGGTGGAGTTTGGCAGTCCTACGCTCCCTGCCATCTCCAGGGCTTTCCATGTATTAACATGACTTCACAAGAAAATCTACGTGAGGGGGGGGGAAATTCCAACCTGAACAGTCACTATAATTTCTTATAAACTGGCCACCAGGAAGAAAAATTGAGCCCAAACTTATTCCAGTAAAGGAAAACACTGACTGGGTAAAATGCACAGAGAGCAAAGCTGCGGGATCTAATGTGCGATGCAGTCTGGTTCTGAACATTACCTTTTTATAGTTTTGCATCGAAATCATTCTAGCAGTACTGAATAATACCTGACATAGCCAAAGTGGGATTCAAGGAGTGTCTGGCTTGTCAGAATTTTTGAATTATAGTACAATTTTGGATAAAATAATTTTCGGCTAAGGGTTCCTTTCAGATAAAACTGATGGTGATTCCTTCCTTAAATCACATTTTCCATCTCTGGTTTGAGATTAGGTCCTGCAGATTATATTAGTTTATCATGGCCTAAACTTTGAAAGGGGCCCGTGGGAACTAAGTTTTCAATTCTCACTGAAGGGAAATCTAAATTGAAGCAAAATTCTACCCCTCCACACAGTCACGAGCGATATTCTGCACTGCTGTTCCAGGGACTGGCTGCAAAGTACAGAGACACCCAGAAGCCACTAACAGCTGGAAACAAAAATAGCAACAGCAAGAGCAGAGAACAACATTAAAACCCCATAGGAGTAGGTTTTAAAATTATATCACAGCCAACACCCCCTGTATTTTAACTGCAGCCCCAGTTGGTAAGCTTGTGGTTATGTTTTCCTTTACCTGGATGACAGCTTTCTTGTCGGCCTTTGGCAAGTTCTTTGCTTGGCGTTCTGCCTCTTCCCACTCTCTCATGACCTAGCAAACAAAACAAAGAGCAAGAGTTTTGTATTTTCCTCTCTTGTCTCAGGGCTTAGCACCAGCCAAGCACTGCAGCTCCGACAGTCATCTTTTCATATTCCTCTCCTCCTTTTATCTCTATTAAAAAAGCAGTCGCAACATTTAACGAAGGTAGGATCCTGTTATTAAATTAAACAAAGATGGTACTTCTGTGTCTGAACATCGTGCCAAGCTCTCACAACTCTTCTGCGAAGCAACACAGCACACCAACCCCTTTTCAACTCAGAAAGAAAACTGCTTCCATCTATTTAATGTCCTTCATAAAAATAAGTGAATTTCAACTCATTCTAAGTGACACTTTTTTTGGTATCACAAAAGTTTTTAGATTCATTTGGACTACGTCGCTGGCCTTTGCGAAGCACAGATCAAGAATTACATGCAATTTGTGCTAGTCTGTCCAGAAATAGGTGTCCAATACTTCAAGAACTGAATACTTTTATATCTCAAGTACAACGCTGACAGAAAAATTATGTAGGAGAACTTTCAGTACAATTCTTTCAGCAACGTGAGAGGCCACCTCCTCCTGTAACACAGGGCAATCTTTCAACAGTCAGGGAATGGATTATGCTTAACTTGCTGTCCGTGACATCTGAAACCTTCTGGGGGTCTTACTTAGGGACTTTACCCATTTTACACCCAGACAGCAATCTCGTCAGATAACACATTTTATGCAGGAACAATTGCTCTCACCGAATGCAGTGCACACAAGTGACTTGTTTGCTGGATTAGCACGATGTCAGAAGAAGACCGAAGAAACCTAGAAGCAATTACTCAAAATGTGCATTTCCTTTCCTTCTTTTCTCACCAGAAATCACACTTCCATACCATTTAATAGAAACAGTCAGACATACCCTTTCTAAAGAAGATTTTCAAAAAGCTTGGAGTCTGTATGCACAAGTGAAATTTTACCAAGCCCAATACCAAAGGCAGGACAAATTAGACCTGCTGTATCTCATGTCTGCAACTTGAACCTCCACCACTCAGCTCCTGTTCCAGGCTCCCCAGTTTTCCCACATGCTGGACATTGCTAACCAGGCTCCTTGACTGGAGAGCACTGGTGGTACCCCAGCATATCTGGTGGAGCCTGTGCCTTCAAAAAACCCCAAACCAACACAACACAACCAAATGGAGACATTTTCAAGTCCCAGTTTGAAACGTAATCCCTTCTCAGTCAGGGTTGTAGACCCTAAAATAACCAGCATGCAGACACCTGCACTCAAGACTGACTCAACATAGAGGATTTTGTTGTCAAGTTTTCATCTTCCTCTTGACCCAAGGCCTGGGAAAGTATTTCAAGACAGCAGTAAATAAGTCACAGTAAAAACAGACTAACTTACTACCAGTGAAATTATTCATCTGTAAGAGATACTGGCCTCAATAACAGCCCAAGAGAGCAGAGACATATATGTTAGGATCCATAGAATAGTTTGGGTTGGAAGGGACCTTAAAGATCACCTAGTTCCAACCCCCCTGCCATGGGCAGAGACACCTTCCTCTACACCAGGTTGATCAAAGCACCATTCAACCTGGCCTTGAAAATCTCCAGGGATGAGTCAGCCACAACTTCTCTGGGCAACCTGTTCCAGAGTCCCTTTCCCTCACAGTAAGGAATTCCTTCCTCCTAATACCTCATCTAAATCTACCCTCTTCCAGTTTAAACCCATTACCCCTTGTCCTAACACTACAGCCCCTGGCAGATTCCGTCTCCAGCTTTCTTGTAGGCCCCCTTCAAATGGTGGAAGGCTGCTATAAGGTCTCTCTGGAGCCTTCTCTTCTCCAGGCTGACCAACCCCAACTCTCTCAGCCTGTCTTCATAGCAGAGGAGCTCCAGCCCTCTGGTCATCTTTGTGGCCCTCCTTTGGACTCCCTCCAACAGCTCCATGTCCTTCTTATGTTGGGGTCTCCAGAGCTGGATGCAGTACCCCAGGTGGGGTATCCCAAGCGCAGAATAAAGGGGCAGAATCACATCCCTTGACCTGCTGGCTACACTGCTATTGATGCCGCCCAGGATGCAGCTGGCTTTCTGGGCTGCAAGCATACATTGCGGGGTCACGCTGAGCCCAACACCCTCAAGTCCTTCTCCTCAGAGCTGCCCTCAATCCATTGTCCAACCAGCCTGTATTTGTGCTTTGGATTTCCCCAACCCAGGTGCAGGACTTTGCACTTGGCCTTGTTGAACGTCATGAGGTTCGTACAGGCCCACCTCTCAAGCCTGTCAAGGTCCCTCTGGATGGCATCCCTTCCCTCCAGTGTGTTGACTGCACCACACAGCTTGGTGTCATTGGCAGACTTTGAGGGTGCACTCAATTCCAACATCCATGTCACCAACAAATATGTTAAGCAGCACCGGCCCAATACCAACTCCTGAAGAACACCACTTGTCACTGCTCGCCACTTGGACATCGAGCTGTTGATCACTACTCTTTGAGTACAACCATGCAGCCAGTTCCTTATCCACTGAATGGTCCATCCATCAAATACATGTCTCTCCAATTTAGAGACAAGGATGGCATGCAGGATATTCAAATGCCTTGCACAAGCCCAGATAGATGATGTCAGTTGATCTTCCTGTATCCGCCAATCCTGTAACCCACAAGTCCAGATAGATGATGTCAGTTGAGCTTCCCGTATCCGCCAATCCTGTAACCACATTGTAGAAGGCCACCAAATTTGTCAAACACAATTTCCCTTTAGTGATGCCGTGTTGGCGGTCACTGATCACCTCCTTATTTTCCATTTGCCTTAGCACAGTTTCCAGGAGGATCTGTTCCATGACCTTGCCGGGCACAGAAGTGAGACTGACCAGCCTACTGTTCCCCAGGTCTTCCTTTTTTCCGTTTTTGTAAAAATGGGGGTTATGTTTCGCCTTTTCCAGTCAGTGGGAACTTCATGGGACTACCCTGACTTCTCAAATATGACAACTTCATCTGCCAGTTCTCTCAGGACCCGCACATCAGGTCCCACGGATTTGTGCACCCTTCAGTTTCACAACGTGAAGCTAAGGGGAAGTTAATCTGATGCTGAAAACTTTACAGTGGGAAATTGTTTTGTCTGCTTCGGGGCTTTAGCAGGGGCATGGTTAGACAGCAGTTGTAAGCACAAAGATCTGAAGACAAGTACTTAGAAATCACAGACTTAACTTCACTCCACTCTTTTACTGGGAACTGTAAGCCGAAACTTAAGCCCCAAGAATTGCTCTACAACCTACATAAACTGGCAGCCTAAAAGCACCTCTTCAATTTACATTATCTTCTTATCAGACAAATATGCATTGATGTGCAAATTGCAGCCAAGCTCTAGGGAAGTAGGAAATCAAAATTTACACGGAGACATGAAAATTCATTTGCAAGGGTTTGTAGTAAGCAGTCGACGACAGAGAACACGATGCGCAGTGCGCTGAAGTTACAGGTCACCGCACCACCAGTTACTTTCCCAGTACAAGAGATTTTACCACTTCTCTGACAAAGCAGGACTGGAAGAGATGAACCGACACCACAATTTAGAGCACCATGATGTGTTCTGGAAAAAAACCTTATTAATGCTCAGAGTGTTGCTGTGTATTAAGTGTACATTCATCTCTTAATTGTATGCTTAGGCCATATGACTGTGGTGGCAGAGAAAACTTAATTCATGTATACAGGCAGCACCTTTCTATATACTTGAAATGTCACTGGTGCCAGGATGTGAATGTTACAGAAGACCGAGAAATTATGGCGTTAATTCAAGTCATAAACTACAATTACGCGTTCAAGCTTGAGCACTGGCCAAGGTTAGCAACTTTATGATTTTCTTCTCCCTCCTCTCCTTTTATGTTTTTAAATCACATCTCTGACATCTGCTTAATATTTTTTTTCACTCTGAATGAACGGTGAATGGGTTTTCAGAACAGTTCCCTTGTCATCTTTATCCCCCAAACTAACGCTCTGCTAACCCATATGATGAAAACAAGTATTGTGGGTAATGTGATAAGGAGACCTTTGGCTAGATCAGGTCTCTGCCTGTTTTATTTCTCTAAGCCTTTTAAGGCATGGAAGGCAGGATGATAAACTGACAGCCTACACAGCTAGTTGGGGACAATGTAAACTACAGGCTTCAGAGTTCAGCGCTGGTGCAACGAGAGTGAATGGCTTGTGATAAAAAAAACCAGGATGACATGGCTGTTTGCAGAAACAATATTCAGTGTAAAGACCGCAAAAGTTGTGCTTTGAGTGCTAATTTTTGCAACTGAGAAGACTTCAATGGTTGAAAGCATCTGTGTGTATGCTAACCAACTGAAGATACAGCTGCCCTACAGCTATCTAAGGGCAGTCATGTTACCACCCAGAGAAAACTTCTGCTCTCACCAAAGGTCGTCGCTTTAGAGAATTATGAGTGACTAAGAAATATGACATAGCACTCTGTAGGAAACCAAAGAGCAAAAAAAGAAAAAAGTTCCCCAGATACGCATGTGCAGAAAAAGGCTGAATTTGGCTTCTACGCACTTACAAACCTATTTTCCTTCATTGAAAGCATAGACCTATCAAAGCCACACAGATTTATGGCTCTTCAAGGCTTGGCAGCTTTGTGCAGGGAAAATGACAACCTCTGGTTGAGATTTAAGCAAGCCATTTCAAAGTCAAACTTCTTCAGAAGTCAGGAGTTAGTGCCTAGCAGACTCCTTTTGAAATTGGGCTAAAGAGGACAGCAAGAGGGGAAAAAGGAAGTATGGAAAGTGTCATTCGTTATTAAGAGATACTAAGCACAAAAATCTCATATTGAAAACAGCAGAATTTACTTTCATTTTTTAGACTGGAGCACAGAAGAGTATCTGCAAGAGAATAATTTATGACAGACATGGACCTACTCGAGCAGGTCCAGAGGAGGGCCATGAAGATGATCAGGGGGCTGAAGCATCTCTGCTATGAAGACAGGCTGAGAGAGTTGGGGGTGTTCAGCCTGGAGAAGAGAAGGCTCCAGAGAGACCTTATAGCAGCCTTCCACCATCTGAAGGGGGCCTACAAGAAAGCCAGAGAGGGACTCTTCATCAGGGACTGTAGTGATAGGACAAGGGCTAATGGGTTTAAACTGAAAGAGGGTAGATTCAGATGAGATCTTAGGAAGGAATTCTTTACTGTGAGGGAAAGGGACTCTGGAACAGGTTGCCCAGAGAAGTTGTGGCTGACTCATCCCTGGAGGTGTTCAAGGCCAGGCTGGATGGTGCTTTGATCAACCTGGTGTAGAGGAAGGTGTCCCTGCCCATGGCAGGGGGGTTGGAACTAGGTGATCTTTAAGGTCCCTTCCAACCCAAACCATTCTATGACTCTCTGGTGCCACTGGCACCAAAAATCAGCTGAAGACCTCCCAGGGATGTTGGAACTATTGGCATGCAATGACTTAAAAAAACCTCAACATTGAAAATAACACCAGCCATGTTCATGCTGGTTGAGGACTGCAGTATTTTCAGATGCTTGCTTTGGAAATGAACTTCCGAGAAGCAAGAATATTTTAGGAGACAAGGTATCATTACGTTCCTATCATAAGCACTATACATGCGACGATTCCTAAAATATTGTAAACAGCCAGAGGAAGAGTAAATTTAAGACATGAGGATGTCATGAGATGTTTGAGGAAAGAAATGTATAAATATACTGCTCCCTTGAGTAAGGCTCAATATCTGGTTCCACCAGACTATTTAGCAGCAACTATTTAACTGAGGGAGCTGTACAGGAGTTAACAAACTGAAAAGAGAAAGAGGAAAAGCAGAATTGTACCAAAGCAGGAGACAAGAACTGGCATCCTGCAATCAGTTAGCACGATCTGTTATATGTTAGAGAACAGCAAACATTTAAACGTTACACATGCATTGCTGAATAGCTATCCTGTTTGCATGTGAACGAAGCTTTGCTGTTATTTGGAGCTGCATTAATAATTCTTGGGAAAAGCTTAAATTTGTATGCTAATGTAATTCTCTACAGTACCACCTAGGAATGTTTACAAGCCTTGTTGCTCCAGGTGCCAAGCACGACGTAAAGGCAGAAAAACTTTGATGGGCTGTAGTCTAAGGGGATGGACACTTAAGAGCAGAAGGTATTAAAACAGTCCGAACCAGAGGTGCATCACGTCATACAGGTGTACAAAAAGAGCACAGAGTCCCCTAGTAATAGTCTTTTAGGAGCTGTGAACTATGAACTGACACAACCATCAACAGAAGCTGAGTCTCTGCGTATGTGAATATCTTTCTACAAGAGAAAAACACATGAGGTGTCAGAATATAATGATAAACAAAGGGAAATCTCAGAAAGAGGATATACAGAATATCTGCATTTGCCCTGATGACATTTTGATTAAAATATTTAATTTCAATTTATTTTTTAATGATAAACTTCCCTGCTCCTTAGATGATTACGTTTTATATGTGAACTAGAATGCATATGTTTTTTTTATTAGTTAATTGGTTGCTGCAAAGTGTGCATCAAATCAAGTACAGTTTTACAACTAGCTGCTTTATTAAATACAAGAAATATCTGGTTTTAGTGAACAAGCTAATTTATTTCAGATTATCACATTTATCAAGATTAAGGAATGACCTGATCATGTTCCAAAACCACTGATCATTTCCTCTCTTTTAAAAAGAATAAAAACGGGCATTTCTGCTACTATATAAGCCCCCATTTCTCAGTTTTGAAAGAAGTGGACTTTGAGCCGTTGTTTAGGTAAATAAAAATGAATAAATATGTTCAGTGCTGTGGAAGGACCTGGCTAGTGACTCTCATTCACTAACTTTTTTTTTTTAAAAAGGAAAACATTGACAGCAAAAGCTTACTAACAATTTATTTAGCATTGTTTTTAACAACTAACAGCTTCAAATTAATTTTTAGTTAAATTCATATTAAGAACCTACCTGGTTTTAAAGAAAATGTACAAAGCAATTTACAAATAAATTGCCAGGAAAGCAGGCCAGTGGTATGGGAAACGGACATATCACAGTTCACATGAGGAACAAAACACAGAATGGCATACTAGCTAGCTTTTCTACCTCTCCATAAGATCTTATATTTTTTTAAATATTTGAAACATTAACTGGGAGAGCCTAGCTCAATGCTGTACAAGACATTACTCACAGAAGGGAAAACTAATTTTAAAAAACTTAAGTGAGTTAACTCTCTTCTTGAAAGCTCTGCAGGGGTTCTGTGTACTTCAAGACATACATACTTTAAGTTGTGATTTCATAAGCAGCTTAAGCAAATTAAAAATCAAAGATCCTTCTTTCTTGATGTACTATCTTGTTGCTGTTTCCCAGGTCTGATTTAGCTTGCTGAATTGGCCAGAGTTTGTTATTTTACTTTTTTTTTTTTTTTTTTGGAAGAGTGACATTGCAGTGAGATGAGGGAGTTGACCTGCCTCACCCCGCAGCTGTATGCTCATTAGCGCTGACAGAAAGGATGGCTGGGAATGTGCTAACGAGGGCAGAGCACGCACAGCACCAGCGTGATCTTCAGTCAGACCCTTGAACCACAGCCTTCATTTATGAGGTTGCCCCAAATGCACATGGTAAAATGTGCGGTGCATTTACCCAGAAGTTTTCTGATGCTACGGTTCAGTGCTTTTCCCAGTTCCTTTTGCTGGCCTCAAGCACTGACGTTGCACAATCTCTCTGTATGATGTTTTCTGGGTGCCTGTGCATTCGATTAGCTCTTTTCCACAAACCCTCAGATTTGTAGAAAATAGAAAATACGCAGTTCACCCAAATACCGCCCTTCCTTACTCAGCTTAACCTTGACACTGCATATGAGATTTCGGAGACAAACCTGAAGCCACGGTGAGAATCTGAGGACTGTTCCAGGAAAATCTACCTTTCTGGCTGTCTTTTGCTTTCAGGACACCCACCCCTACAGTTTTCGTTAAACGGGGCTGTTTCAAGAAAGGGGAGGTAATAATGGGGTGACAACTGCATCACCCACCGACTCTCCATGTGCTTGGCCGGGGCAGGACCTCTCTCCTCTGACGCAACAGCTGCCTGCACAACTTTTTTTAGTCTCCTGATTCCCAGCCCATCCTTCCCAAATTGGGTCTAACAGGCACACAGAAGTTTGTCACGAAGAGGACTGGGATAAGCTGCTCCTCGGTGGCAGCGCAGCATGTGGGTGCCTCGCTCACCTCCCTCCTGACTCACCCCCATGGCTTCAGGCCGGCTCCGAGCCGGGCGCTGCACGCACCCACGCTCAGCAAGACTTGCACCTCGGCCACCGCTTGTTTTAATGAAGTTGTTCATCTTCCAAATGAAAGGAAATGATAACACTTTAAAAGGCATTATGAAATTGGGACTACTTTATTTGAGGAGGAGACAGCTTGTTTGTGCTACAACTCTTCCCACATGGAGGCAGATGGAGAACAAATACCTTCCTGACTATTAAGGGCCATATTGTCGTGATTTGCATCCATCAAAAGACTGCTTCAGATAAGATGCCCTGCCCTATTTACTACAAAAGTGCCAGGCATAGCTACAATGCCAGTAGAAGGGGACTTATTCTAAGAGCTTAATTTCAGGCTTACTCAAACATGTTAGGACAGAGCTAAAGGTTAATGTGCCAGTAATACACAGGAAGACTAAAAATGCAACAGGGGAACAAAGTTCCAATGAAAAATTATAGTAAAATCGCTACACTGATATATGCAGTGCATCTGAATTTTACTACATTCATTTCAATGGTTGTTCTGTCCTAAAAAAAATATGCACCACAAGCTTTCCTTTAAACCTCTTATATTTTTTACTTTATTGTTATTCGAGCAGAACTGTGACAACTTTTTTATTGGCATTGCTATTATAAACCCTATTTCTGAGAGAGCGGATAGCTCATCTCTTAGTGTTCAATAGGATTAAAAACAGTGTACAGTTTCAGGCTATACAAATCTTTTTGGTTAAAGGAAAGAAAAGGGTTGATTCAGTTGGATGTTGGTTCCATTCAAAAGCACTAATTTTCCCTCTTTTCTTTGGCTTTAGATACATTTCATGTTGCCTTGAGGCTCAAGACCATTAGATGAACATATGCAATCTTACGTTACCCCAGGGCATGGCCTTGTATGCACAGACACAGAGACTGAAGCTAATCACAAGCAATATCCCTCAGCTGCTGCAAAGGAAAGATGACTAATACAGTGGCCAAGTTCCTTACTTAGAAACAAGAATAATCTCACAAACCAAACATTCTTCCACACAGAGGAGAGCATTTTTAACACTTTTTTTCTTTTTACCAGCACAAGTAACTGTAGCAACTTATGACTGCAGCTGCGACCCAACCACAAATGTATGCCCCAGCCAGCTGAATTTTTAGATAGAGCCAGAAAGACAGTAAATGGTATATTTGCAGCATTGCGAATAGGCAGGGCAGCTGGCTGAAATGGGAAGATGAAGGATCCCAAGCATCTGATGACTTGACAGAGAAAACTCCCACGTTGAGGAATAAAGACATCTCCCCTTACCTGAGACATCCTTTCCCGATGCTTGGCTTCAAGTCTCTCCTTGGCTTTCTGGAAATGGGCGTGTTCATTCTCATCTCCAGGTGTCTCCAAATATTTGTCAACAGCATCAGGAGTGCTAGCGGCTGTGGTAGGGACTGAGGTAAAATTTTGAGGTCGGGAGAGGGAAGGGAGGGGAAGAAAAGCAGAATTTCTACTTTAGTAGAGGTAAAATTTAATCAAAGCAAGAAACCATCTGTTCTAATTTCCATCAGAATAATGCCATTCACTTAACCTCAGGAAGATACAAAAATGTGGGTTTATGTTACACACAGCAAATATATAAAAATATACAAAGATTTCCTCCCTGTCCCATTTTGTAAATGGGGAGAAGCTCTTCAGAGTGAACAAAGCAATGTTATTCAAACAGGTTAGAAACTGCTGCCAAAGGAAAAATTCCAAGAAAAAAAAAGCCTGGCAATGACTAAAGTACATAAGCCAGCAGAAAGCCTTTGCAAAGTTACATGCTTTGTATATTAGTTTATTTTTAAAAGGTAAATTGTAACACCCAAGTGCCAATGCAAATATGTTTTAAAGCACCTACGGACCCCACAGTACCCTAATGAAATACCTCAAATCCTTCCCCTAGTGACAGCTTTGCCTCACAGGTATTTACTTCATTTCTAAAAACTTTGATTAAGAAAACCCCTCATGGACGCTAGAAATAATCAGCAAGCTTGCACTAATTGCTAGCCATTCCTGTCGGATAACTAGGCAATACCTACCACACTGGTGTTGGACAGATTTGTATTTGGGGTAATTCAAGCAAAGTAAGCAACAATTCCTTCCCTATGCAACAACAGCCAACAACCTCTACATTAACTAGAATAACATCTCTGTGCTAGGGCCATAACAGCAATTTAAAAAAAATCACCTCCAATGACAATCAACTATTTCATTTCAACTGTATTGTCCCTAAATATTTTACTATATATTTAGTTTTATTACCCTGGTCACATGTAGTTCAACGACTGCAGTTAGTTTAAAAATTCTGACAAATAAAGACCATACACATAGTTGCGCAGGAGTTTTTTTAAAATGCATTTGACTATACGTACCGTAATTAACTTCACTTACAGAGGCAATACATTTTAGTAGATAGACTAATACAGGTAGGGAAAAACCCAGGACCCTCTCACACCCCAAACATTTCTCAATGTCTTCAACAAAAGCAACCTTTTATCTGAAGATCAGACTGAGTAATAACAACCAATATTTGTTCATGACTGCTTTCCACCAAACAAGTTGAAATCTAAACACATCTATGTTACGTTATTAAAAAAAACACCCAAAACCCATCAGTTAGAAGTATGTGTTAGTCCCAATGAAATACACCCTCAAATTTCAAGAAAACCTTAAACAAAAATCCAATCTTTTCCTCCAGTTTTACTGTAGATGTATAAACCCAAAAGTGAAACAAACAAAACCCCCCAAAATGAACAGAAAGCCTTTGGATGTGGCTGCACTTGAGATATCTCTACATGTTCTCTGCAATAGGCATGAATGGTTTTGGCTGCTGTTGGTATAACTTGCACAACAGATTTTTAAGTTACTCACTGGATCAAAGGAAAGGCTTTTTTTTTTTTTGTCTCAAAACAAAAAAAATATTTACAAACAACCAAAAAAAATCCAATTGAGAAGTCATAGGCAGTGCAACTTATCACTCCTCCCACCATTTTTTGATTTGTTTCATAAATATTTTATTACAAGTTTACATTTTGTAAAATTGTAAATTTTCTTACTGAAGTAGTGTAACAACCAAACATGAACAAATAAGCTTCCTGACAAGCCATGAAAAATACAAAAATAGAATGCAACTCTTAACATTTTCAGTGGATACTCTCACAACTTCAGACAATTTAGTCTCTAATGTTGTTATAAAAGCACAAAAAATTTCTATCTTTTTAAATGCTTAACAACCCATCTTCAATGATAATGTGGTTTGTGCTGGGGTGCAGTGCTGCCTGCTGGAAAGGCTACAACCAGCGTAAGCAAATTCCAAAACCAAAATCATCCAAAGCTCAGGCTGAGCGAAAACATTTCTGTAATGCTCAGAAGTATTTCTAAATATCTTTGCCTTTTAATCTCTCAGGCACCGAATTAATTTAATCTTTATCTTTCCTGGAGCTGCTGTTAAGTACAGTACATTTTAATTCCATTTAGAAAATGAAAAGAAAATTTTATTTCAAAGCAAGAAGAAATTCAAGAGTGTCTGAGTGAGCAAAGGCCATCCCTTCCAGGCTCCTGTTTCCTGACAGGGGTTCAGCAAACACCCCCAGGCAAGAGCAATGAATACTCTTTCGCAGTGTTTTAACTTTGCTGGATCTTTCCTTTGCGATTCTGATTTTATTCTTTTTTACCCCCCAAACTTCCATGAGATTTAACATTCACAGTATGGTGTGGCAATGAGTTCCACAGGTTAATCAGGTTCTGTGTGAAGATGATTCCCCTCTGCCTGCACCCTTCGTTGCTGCCTCTGCAGGACGCAGCAGCATTTATCACCGGAAGATCGAATGGGGGAGAGCTCTAGTACACTCACCATCCTTCTTCTTTTACAAATTTTTTTTTTTAACTGAAATTAAATCTGTACAAATGTGAGTGGAAAGAAGTGACAATCTAAATAACTGTCCAATAAATTACGTAAATTTAACCTTTAATTTATTGTACAGGAAAAAAGGTCACCAGCATTTGCACTGAGATCAGTGAAGCCACCTGCACATTCAAGGTCTGATTTTCAAAAGCTCCCGTCTCACACACGCAGCCTTTACAGCCCAGATTTTCGGACAATACGCTTACTTCCCACCGGGATGCCTGCTGGTGTGCTTCTGAAAAAGGGAGAGTAGCGGGTGCTGAGAACTGGAAAAACTGATTTCAGTGCCTGGTGCCAAGGATGTCAGAGCACCCAGCCCTCTCCAAAAGCCGCGCAAAACCAAATCGAACAAAGACTTGGCATTAAACCCCCGTGGAATGATTACTAAAAATGATCAATAATACAGCATTGGTCACACATTAAGGACAGGTATAAAATCAAAAGGCTTCTAGGGTAGAATACAGACACAGCTGGTATGTGAAGAATCCGCTACATCTGCGATTCCCTGTACAATATTGCTTGCAAAGCAACACGGGGAGTGGAGTGGGGTGGAGGCTCCAAGGCCAAACCCTGTGATGATCCAGCAGACATGGGAACGAGATGGCATCACAGAAGAAAAACAGTGCGAAGGATGGAACAGAGTGGAGACACTGCTGCTAAAACCCTGTGATAAACTGGGGACTTGAGGACCAAATAGAGCCCTCGAAGGTCTTATGGAACTGATAAACTGCCTACCTGTTACCCTGAGCCAACAATCTGTCACTTTTTTTGACAAAATGCTGTCCTTTAGTGAACTTTGCTCATTATAATATCATTATAATACCAAAACACACCTCCATCCCAAAAGCTACCCGCCTCCAAGGTGCGACCACTCCTCCTTGAGTCTGCGCCCTGAATTTTTTGTATACTGTATCTTTAAATGCGAGGCAAGAAAATTTTACACCAATCATAATGAAAGTATTTATGACTAGAATCAAACTCCACCTTGAAGATAAAAATTAGTATGAAAATAGTACAAGAAAAGGGGGATGTGAGGTAAGACACCATCATGGACTTCTGGTACCAGTCGACAGGCTGAGCCTCTCTTCCCCCCCCATAAGGACGCTTGTGGGTAAGATTGGACCACTTGGCTATACCAAGTGCTTCCCAGGGAAACTTAGAAATCTCTATATAGAGTAGTTTTATAACTTAACGCTTTTGTAACCGAGCTATATTGCTAGCATCTTTAATGTTCGCACGTGCTTTGCAGACAGTCACTATGACCGGCAATCCAAAAGCACTTTTGTATCTGTTGTTTAAATAAACTGCACTGTGTACTCAGAGAGTCATTTGGGTTTTCTCATTGAACCCGACTGAAGCGAGGCCCTGTTAGTTCATGAGCACGACCGGGCTGAAGGTGCAGTCTGCTATGAGTGTATCCAGAACCGTAACAGTTTAATATATTAAACGCCCCTGGAGTGACAGTGGTGAATTGGGCATCACTCAGAATTTAAACCTAGCCGCACCTAGCCTCCCACCTCGGTGAGGAGTGTTAGAACACAAGAGGGTTTATTTTCTGCCAAAACTACTTTGCCCCTTTAACGCAACAACCCCACTGGATGCCCAAGACAGACAGGCTGAGCCCAGGAGCACGGGAAAGGATATGGGCAGTACATTGATATCTAACCGCAACCTGCTTTCTCATACTAATGCTAAAGGGGATAATGCTAACAAAGAGCAATACTGCATAGGAGGAGAAAGCCACTACCCCTGACCTTGTGCAAAAGGCTGGTGTAATGACAAACGTGGCTCTCCGCTACGTGCTCCCAAAAAGAAAGAGGGCTCGGTAACGGGCATGGGGGTTGATGGGAGCTTGGGGAACCTGTCTCATGGTAAAAAGCTCAATCAGTTACATTCAACCACCAAGGAGCAGACTACTAATTTGATTTAGAAAATCTCTCCTGAGAAGAGATTTCTGACAACAGCTTTATCTGAGAGAAGCAACTGAGGTCTGATGGCTGGAAACCAAAGCTAGGCAGAAATAAGGCTGGAAATCCAGACCAGAAATAAGCCACCCACTTCCAGTAGTTAAGTGCAATTAAGTATTTGAACAACTTATGCGAAGATATGCTGATTCACCTAAAAGTATCTTTGGAAAAGTTCCTGCTTCAGCATGTCCTTCCAAAACCTGGCCATTGAACAGGTGCAAAAGCAAGGGGTAAAACAGGCGTTTTCTCCTTCTCTGCTTGCTGCTGGCAGCGGTCCATGCCCAGCGCACGTCAGATCAGGTCAAGCCTGCGCAAAGCCAGAGCTGTAAGGACTCAGCCTGCCTACTGCTCCGGGAACCCTTATTTGGCCATCGGTGGCCACAGAGACCAACCAACCTGCCAACACCAACCACATCTCATTCTGCAAACAGAGACACTGTTTAAACTCTTAAAGAGCAGGGATAATTTTCATTAAAAAGAAGTTCAGTGCATATCTCTAGGAAAATACTAAAAGGTGAGATGAAATGGTCATATACATTTC